GACGAGGGTCGTATCTTTCAAGAAGCCATTCAATAATCCACTCATACCTCTCACCTGACTGAGGCAAACCTTGTGCTGTAAATAGCCAAGGTGGCTTCCTCATGTGCTAAAAACAGAGTCCACAAAGACATCCGCGATACGTACGTCGCACGTCACAACAATCTTTCAACAAGGAACTAGTGTGATGGATTCAATGACTGATTTCTCTTCTTCGCCAGACCGGAAAACGTGTCTCGTTCCGTTGAATGCACACAACACGGCTCCATCGTGTCACTGTCAATTGAGCGTTTGCGGACCAATCAGTTCTGCGGGCTGGGAGTTGACTGACGAGTGCAGGTTCTGACAGGATTAGTGGTACAAATGCACATGTTTAAGCAACAAGTCGCGATTTTGTTGCTTTCTTGATGATGACAGTGCTACTGGCAAAAGTACTTTCTCAGTTACCTGTGATAGAAGTAGAATCACCTGGAGTAGCTGGTTCCTACGTTGATCATTGTAGGCTGAACATGACCTAAGAATGGCTCTTTTGACACTGAGGGGTAGCTCCGTCGGTAGATCGCCAAACTCATAGCCGAAGGATGGTGAGTTGCAGCGCGGACGGGTTGTTCTACCCTTCAAAGGTAGATAAACGAGTATTTCTTAGTAGCAGATTAAGCAAGACGCAACGCTTTATACTTACCACGTATTTACATAAACAGCTAAATATATTCATACGTTGGAGTATGTCAAACAATGCATAGCTCCTTCAAGGAAAGAGGTGGCTCTGAGGAACAAGGTACGCTGAGATGCATCTGGCACCGCAAGTGCTTGAATACCATAGAACAGTTGCTCGTTTAAACAGGCCTCTCCCTCCCAGTCAGCTAGAAACGAGGGGGCGACACGACACACCGTGAAATCTCGTGTTTATGGAGTTATGCGTTTTATCACCCAGCGGTATGCATAATCCGTAAAGCAAATCAGTTCTGGTCAATGGCAAAGAAGCGGAGATCAGCGCCGCACCACAGACTCTATGAAATAAAGAAGTGCCACAAATTGCGCGAACCATGGCAGAGTAAGGAAGACGGGGAAACCTACATTCCGACGGTCATGAACTTTTTCTTTCCTCTGTTTAACTGACAATTTAAAACAAAACGTCCGTAAAAGTTAACGCAAACAAAGATCAACAACCAGGCAAAGTCGAGGCATCCTGAGGAAGAAGCAGGCAGAGACATCGTTACAAAAGCTTTTCTTTGTATGGTATGAACAAACAGCACGAAATGCGTAGATTGATGCACTAAATGAACAATTTGGTAAATTGCACGATTGACCAGTGCCGACGTTTTTGCTCAATGTTTCATGAGCTTTCTTCAAAGCAAAGTGGGGGTGAGCTTCGGCACTCCTTCTCGCCATCTACAGCAGTTCTAAAATGAGCGAATCGCGATTTTCCATGTATAATCCATTTGTTTACGCTTTCGTTTCCAGTTCGAACTAAATTCCATACAGAAGTAGATGACATAAAATTCGAGCATAATCTCTTGGAGTTCATAATATTTAACGTTGTTTCCAGTCTCTATGTTAGTAAGGTTTGGAGTCTGTGTATTGTTTTGCTGAGGAGATTTGGTTTTTATAGAAAAGGGACCCTGCGACTTGATTTTCCAGAGTCTACAATTTATATGTTCTTTGAGGTACTTTTGTACGCTGATAGAAACTAGTCTCACTCAGTAATTTAACCTCAGGGTACTTTTCATCTCTCTCACCGGAAGCATACAAACTCCAAAGTACGGGATCCGTACAGCTAGCAGAGGCTATCTCTGAGCTACTGCGGTAACCATTAGAAAAATTTCATGAGTTCCGAAAGGATTCACCAATCAGGCGAAAGTAACTGTGCTTGAGGAACCATCTTTCATGGTTTTTCAAGGTATTTCAATCCATATAAAAGAACACTTTGAGTGAAAATTCAGGGACTGGTCTCACTGTCCTTGTTGATCACAAAAGAAAACAGGGCAAATTGTTCTGTTGCACCGTGTAGCCTTTGAACTGAAGACAACGTTCGGA